TAAGGGTTTTTTACAAATCGGAAAGAAAAAAGAAACTTTTACTTATATTGAATTATTAGTTCGTTTACCACAATGTACATTTTTTATTATTACGTTTGTTATGTTCGGGTGTTCTAGAACGATCGACAAGACTCTCACGTCGCGATTGGTCTAGAGAAATCTATAGCTAATTGTTGTCAACATTTTAAGCATAACAAAATATGACCCAATTTCAATGAAAATGATTCACTCATGTAAAAGTAAATATAACAAAAAATCTGTACGTGATGGAGGGAAAAATAGATATCATTTTCGGATTCAGCGTACAGGAATTACTGTAGAACATGTGAAAATTTCAAGGCAATAAGATCATCACGGGCCTGTGTTATCAATCGTTACGCAAAAATTATACAAAAATAAAAAAATCTACTCTAAGCCCAAAGATATGCCCTGTGTTAAAATAACACCTTTAACAACACTATAACTACCTATCTTACTGGTTGGATCAAGTCCTCCCCCCCCTCCACCATTTTTTTGGGAACCCCGAAATAGATACGAAATCTAGTTCAGGGCCAGGATTTAATTTTGTTCCACGGTTCCACAGTGTTTAGTTACGCCATTGTTAATACTTAATTGTTATATGTGCTTAATTTATATTTGTTACTAAACTGAACAGAGAGGTACTGGTTAAAACAGAACGCCATAATCTGAAACGTGAATTTTTGTTTGTTTGTTTGTAATTAAGCACAAAGCTAAACAATGGGCTATCTGTGCTTGGTCACCACGGGTATCGAAATCCTGTTTCTAGCGTTGTAAGTCCGCAGACTGTGCCACTCGTGGGGCATCATGAATTTAAACATTTACATATTGTTTGTTTGTGTGTTTGTTTGGAATTAAGCACAAAGCTACACAATGGGCTATCTGTGCTCTGCCCACCACGGGTATCGAAACCCGGTTTCTAGGGTTGTAAGTCCGCAGACATACCTCTGTGCCACTGGGGGGCATTTACATATTAAAATTGGGATTACTACTCTTTTGACCAGTTACATGAAATATATAAGATGGTTTGTTTATTTTGGGGCACAAAGCTACACATTGGGCTAAATGACGTAAATGACGTCAGAATACAATGTAAAGGTATTCAGTTTGAATATTCATAAAGTTGAAAGTATAGGGTAGCAGACTACAAATATTGTTATATCGATTTTACGAATTAAGGTGATGTAAAAACCTACGAAAAAATAATACCCAAGAAAATTTTGATATTTTAATGATAGTTACCCTTCGTCCTGCAAAACGTTTTACTTTCAATATTTTGCTGTTACCTTTACTGATTTGATGTTCATGATAAGGGCGATCGTTCTACATTTTGATCGCTGTAGTTGTTTCTTTGATTACTTGTGGCCTTCTTTGATAACACGAAAGAAGCATGATAACCTACAAAAACAAGCCGATATAACACTATATAAACACTCCAGCACTATAAGTGTTTCCTTAAGGTATAAGTGTGTATGGCAAGAACAATATTTACTCATCAAAATGTTACCTCATGCATGTTTGTTTTGGATAATTGTACAAAGCTACACAAGGGCTATCTGAGTTAGCCGTCCCTAATTTGGAACGGATAGACTAAAGGGAAGCCAGTCAACAGTATCCACCGCCACCTCTCGGTGAGTTCGAACATGAGATTTTCTCGTCACTCTTATGATGCCCCCATAGCCTCGTATTTACAGCAACGGGACGCGAAACACGAAAATCAAGAAAATTAACTACTAGGTCACGCCCAGCACTACTTAATGCTGGAAAACTACAAAAAACACCATTGTAACAAGAAAACAAAACAAAAACACGACATACAGTACAACTGGACGAGGAAGATGGAACATATAGTTGCATATATTATAAAATAAACATGAGAAAAATATGTTAACTTTACAAATATCGAATAATTTTACGTGTGTGTGTGTTCATTCTTTTGTTAAAAACGTATTTTAGGTTTTTATACTTTTATTTAACAATCAAACGTTTAGGTCTCAAGATTTAAGAATTTTTCATTAAAGTAGATATAATATTTCTAAAACAGATAACATAGGTTAAGTTGCACACAACGAAGTAGTGTCTATTGGAAAAACGAGTTCTTTTATCTTAATTTACACTGGTGTAAATAAAATAGTTACAAAGACAATAAATGTAAGTTAATTCATTAATTACATTGTAAATCATTGCGACTTAAATCACCGTATACGCGTGTATCGTAATTACGGACAAAAATATCTTTAATGATAAGGGTATTTAAATTATGATAAAATGTAAGCTTATTGTTGTACCCCTCATAATTGAGTTACACTGGCTCTAAGAACAATATTACATATAATAATACATGCAAGAGTATTAGAACAAGATTACATTAATAATACATGCTAGAGCCAGTGTAACTCAGTTATGAAGAGTATTCATAACTGAGTTACAGTTGCTCTAGCATGTATTATTATATGTAATATTGTTCTAATACTCTTCATAACTGAGTTACACTTGCTCTAGCATGTATCATTAAATGTTATTCTGCATTATGTTAATTAATATTTTTCTTTCATTGTTGGCTTGTTTGTTGTTAAGCACAAAGCTATATAATGGACTGTGCCTACCACGAGCATTGAACGTGGTGTTTAGTGTTATAAGACTTCCGACATACCGCTGAGCTACTGAGTTGGGGGGAGGGAAGAAGGGAGAATTCTCCATTCTTAGTTATTTTAGCGTACATACAAGTACAACTGATCTATTAAGAACTGAACGTGGAAACATATCTGACCTTTTCTAAAGATGTTTAAAGTTTTTCTATCTGTTTTTTTTCCTTCAGAGTTTGGAAGCCAAGTTATACAAAATCTTCTTTCGCTAGCCGTCTCTAATTTTGAAGTGATACTTTAGAGAGAAGAGAGCGAGTTAAAAGCAACCACCGTCCGCCCTTTTTCTACCCTAATCTGACAGAAAATTATCTTCGAGCCATCTGGAGGGATAATTCAACACTGGAAGATGTGTCGGTTCGAAATGTCGTTTTGAAATTATGTGTAAAAATCTCTTTCTCTGTTATTGTCTTTTTGTATGAAAACCTGTACAATACCTGTCTGTTGACTGTTATGACTGCCACCGAGATGGTAATCAAAACGATGGTAACGTAGACATAATGTCCTATTGGCTGCCTGGAAATAAACATATTATTACATGTAAGTTACCTCGTAATTGTATATAACCTTTCCTAAGAATCAGAATTGTAACTGTTGCCATTAAAACTTCCCATTTTTTAAACCTAAGTTTTAACAGTGAGTCTGACTTTCAGCAACAATGAGTGTTAAAGTATAGAAAATCTCCAAGAAGTATGAACACAAAACTCTATTATTTTAGGCTTCAACGATTACAAAATAAAAGTCTATTAATGATAATTTTTTTTAATTCAAGTAGATATTTCAATAAAATCATATTTTAGTTTCAGTGTTCTGGACTCCGCTGTTCCTAGAACAAAATGGACAATATTTCGTTTTTAGGAGTTAACAAACCAATAAATGACAAAGATATAGAATCTATCACTCATTTATTCCGGTGTTAAAGACAACCAAGAAAACATCCACAAAGATGAGAAAATTTAGTAAATTAAAACAACAACAAATAATAATCAATCAATTTCAAAACTTCTTAATACTTTTAATATTTCGAAAACATTTGATATTTCTTTACGTATTCCATGTAAATTAAGGTGTTTTTAAGTGCTTCTGTCTCAGCCTCCAGGTGAGATATTTTCGTAAAGAGCTGTTAGTTGTTTCGATAATTGATACCAATTTAAAGCTACCTAAAACATTTCAAGACACCGTTAATTACATGTAAGATGTTTAAAATAATGAAAAATACCAAAGTCTCTTATAATAATCGTGACCCACGAGTCAATTAATCCGCATGGATTTACAGATAAACTGTCATAGAAATAATTAGGTGACAGGTAAAGTCATTGATGAAGCCACGTCGAAAACAATAACAGATATAAAAAAGTGAAATACTGACAGTGTTAATTGAACTAACTAAGAGCTTGTCTTTCGAGCTACCGCTCGTTTTGAGATTTAACAAAAAAAATACCTACAGACAGTAGAAATACAGCTCATATGAAATTTATTTGATTAGCGATACTTTGCAGACTCTGTCTTTGTTGGATAACTCTTACTTGTAGTGTTTCCCTCACGAAGAACTTAATTCCAAGTCAATTTATGTTAGCGATGTTAGGCTAGCTTTCCTTATTAAACCCAACAGAAGCTAGCCAGAGATGTTGGGTTTTATAAGGAAAGTTAGCTTAACTTCGCTAAAGGATGCTTGAAATATAAACATAAATTGACTTGGAGAGACTTTGTATTCAAAATCAACTGGTTACGAGTCGTAGAACACAAACAGAACTATAGTTGTTTTTGATATTCTACTGGTTAATTGTAATTATAATCTTTGTTTGTTTTAGAGAAAAACCACATTGGGTTATCTGCTGCGTCCACTGCGGGTAATCGAACCCCGATTTTGGTGTTGTAAGTTCGTAAACTTACCGCTGTTCCATGAGGGGGGGGGGCAATTATAATGTCACAACTTTTATTATATCGAGCAACACATTGTGTGGTAGCCCAGTTCTGGTCGTTTCTCTAACATAAAAAGCTGACCCCATTGACACACACAAAGAAACGATAACAGATATTTCCATAAATACTATAAAAAATGAGCTGAATATTTTGAGGAAAACACTCATCACATTACATCACTAGACTGTGGGATTACACTCATCACATTACATCACTAGACTGTGGGATTACACTCATCACATTACATATCTAAATTGTGGGATTACACTC